AAGCCACAAGCCGGCATCCTAAAAACTCCTACGACGAGTAATCCAACTGAAACTGTGGAGGCATCGATAGGACCAACCCTTCCTCCTCTGCACCCAGAGCATAGATCGTAGATAAATAGAGACCGAAAATATCCACTGAAATGAGAAGACCAACCACAACCCACTACAACTCCAGCAAAATTCACACCAGAGATCATGAGCAAGCACCCCCAAATTCCACAACTGAATCACACCTCCACCTCCAAAAAACCCTCCAGAAAGAGAGATCAAGATACGCAACAGGGCAGAATTGACAGGAAGGAGAGGAATCGTGCACCACCAAAATACCCAAATGATGAGCATCGTATTTGGATATTGCACTAGTTTCGTTTAATAGTAAGTCGAGAGTTCCATCTCTTTGAAAACTTCTCGTGCTTCATTTCCAAACATATTTCTCCAAATCCAGATATCACCATTTGAATTTCACGGTTTTTAGTATAAAAAGTTTAATTTAAAAATTGTTCTTAGGTGGTATAGTTTTATTTACTTATTTATTTTTTAGCCTTGCGAAGAAACTCACATTAGTCTTTAGTGGTTTCTTGAGATTATTTTGTTGTCGCATTATTATTTTTTAATTATGTATATCTAACAAAAATTACTTTCTTTGCAATTGCTAATTTTTTTTTTTTCCCAAATGATGGAAAATTTTATAGATATAGTTACAGTTGAGGAAGAACCTCAAATAAAACACTTCCAACCTTTAGACAATGAAGGAAATCACATAGTCAAAACCCCTAGGAAACTATCAAACATATGAGAACTTGGTCCTTAGCAGTTTGTTTCTGACATTATCATTGGCTAATTAATGCACCAAAGTTGTTGTACACTGTTTAACATTCTGAAAGACTCCTGGCTGCCACTTCAGAAGATCCTCCAAACCACTCCAAACTTGCTTAGCCTATGAGCATTGACAGAAAATATGATCTGAATGTTCTTCTTTGCAATTATTTTTGTTTCTTTGATATTATTATTTTTTTTATTGCATTATGTTTGCCTTTTTTAATAGAATAAATACAAAAAGGTATTGTGCGCACGTGTTATGTTATATCCTAGTTTTCTAAAAATTAAAATATGTTTGATGTTGCTGTACACACAAATTTTGTTCTTTGCAAATAAAAACAAAATATGGGTAAAATATAATATTTTATTAATTTATAAAAATCGGAGTACAATCCTCTGTAATACTATTCTTTGCAAAGAATACTGTCCTCTGATTCGATTTCCTTTTTGGTTGGTTGGATCCAAGAGCTGCACGAGCTTGATCTTGAATCACCGTGGAATTTGGATGAAGAACGACACGATTTGATGTGCTTGTTGTCAATTACCGTGGAATTTGATGAAGAACGGCACGATTTAATGTGCTTTGTATTCTTCATATTTGAGTTTGGATGTTGGGGATGAGATTCTGTATTTCTCTCTAGAATTCTGGATTTCTGAATTCTGAATTTGTGTCTGAATTTTTGAACTTCTGAATTCTGAATTTGTGTCCGAATTTCTTGACTTATGAATTCTGAATTTGTGTTCGAATTTCTAGACTTATGAATATATGCCTCCATCGTAACCACTGATTCTGAGATCTCAAGCTCATATCGTGGCACATATCCATATGTATATATAAATCCATATCCTATCCATAACAATAAAATTAAACTATTCACTATAATCTTTCAATGGTATGTCATCTACATGTTTTGTGACCTGACACGAAGAGATGAGACTAAGCTTATTAACCAGCACATCCATATTATCCAAAATAAAGCCATATATCTAGCAATGGAATACATAGAACCAAATCTTAATAAATTTATGTTATTTTAGATAATTGGTAAGTTAAATGAATTGTGAATTGAAGGACAATTTTTATTAGGAATTTCTTAATTAGGTAAAAAATTTTAATTGTTAATTTAGAATTAAAAATAAATAATTTATTTTTCTATGGTTATAATATAGATATATAAATTCATATAGTTATATCAAGTTATTTATATGAATTAAATATTTGCAAAAAAAATTAAAAAATTTGTGAAGATACAATTAGACGTTGAGACATAATTTGTCTCAGGGGCGGAGGGAAGGGGGCCATCCGGCAATGGCCCCCTCCCCCAATTTTTTCACAAATAATTTTTTTTTTTTAAATTTTTTTTATTTATTTATGGTTACCTTATGGCTGCAAATAAAATTAATTATTACTCTTCAAAGTTGAATAAACCTCTTAATGCAACATACTTTATCCCCCATTTTTTTCTTTTTTGGTTACTCCGCCCTTGATTTGTTGTTTACATTTTAATTAATATATTAATAACAATTTTATTTAATTACAAAAAATATTTTTAGTTAATTTTATTAGTAAATAGACTCTTGTTTACATATTTATAGTTTAAAATATACTACTTTATTATTACTCTACAATTATATATAATACTAGAAAAAGGCATGTGTGATGCACGTATTGAATGTTTTGTAAATAATTTGATAGAGTTTTATAAAAAATAAAACAGTCAATTTGTAGTAGATTTTATAAAAATTATTTTATTTTCTTTAAATATATTCTTGTTTAATTATATTTTCTTTTATTAAAAAAATTCATAATAAATAGATAAATATGTAATATGTGTTAGAATTTTATAAAAACTCTTTTAAAAACTCTTTTTATATCAATTAATAAATATTTTTTATATTAATAATTCTTGTCTAATTCGATTTCAATAAATAAATAAATAGATAATTTGTGTTAGAATTTTATATAAATTCTTTTAAAACCTATTTTTATATCAATTAATAAATAATTTTTTATATTAAAAATACTTGTCTAATTAGATTTCCATTTATTAAAAAACTCAAAATAAATAGATAAATATGTAATATGTGTTAGAATTTTATAAAAACTCTTTTAAAAACTCTTTTTATATCAATTAATAAATATTTTTTATATTAATAATTCTTGTCTAATTCGATTTCAATAAATAAATAAATAGATAATTTGTGTTAGAATTTTATATAAATTCTTTTAAAACCTATTTTTATATCAATTAATAAATAATTTTTTATATTAAAAATACTTGTCTAATTAGATTTCCATTTATTAAAAAACTCAAAATAAATAAATAAATAGGTAATTTGTGTTAGAGTTTTATAAAAAATCTTAAAATATATCTTTGTCTAATGTATTAAAATTTTATTGAAAATAAAATAGGTAATTTGTGGTAGGGTTTTCTAGTCTAATTAGATTTCTTTTTATTAAAAAACTTATAATAAATAAATAAATAGGTAACTTGTGTTAGAGTTTAATAGAAATTCTTTTTATATCAATTAATAAATATTTTTTAGATTAAAAATTCTTGTCTAATTAGATTTCTTTTTATTAAAAAGCTCGTAATAAATAGATAAATAGGTAATTTGTGTTAGAGTTTTATAGAAACTCTTTTAAAACCTCTTTTTAGATCAATTAATAAATAATTTTTTATATTTAAAATACTTGTCTAATTAGATTTTCTTTTATTAAAAATACTTAATAAATATATAAATAGGTAATTTTTGTTAGAATTTTATGGAGACTTTTTAAATATTATATCTTTATCTAGTGCGATAAATTTTTATTAAAAATAAAATATGTAATTTGTGATTGAGTTTTATAGAAATTATTTTATTTTCTTTAAATATATCCTTGTATAATTAGATTTAATTTTATTAAGAAACACATAATAAAAGTTAATTTGTGGTAGACTTTTAGAAAATTTAATTTATTTTATATGTCAATTAATAAATATTTTTTATATTAATAATTCTTGTCTAATTACATTTTTTATTAAAAAATTTATAATAATAAATAGATAAATAGGTTAATTTAAATTTTATTATGTAGATTTTAGTGTTTTAAATATTTTTTATATAAATAAATAAATACTTAAATACTGAAACTCTTTGCACATCTAATAATAATATAAATAAAAAAATCTTTTTATATCAATCAATAAATATTTTTTTTATAAGAAACTCATAGTAAAAGCTAATTTTGGGTAGAGTTTTAGGAAAATTATTTTATTTTATATATCAATTAATAAATATTTTTTATATTAATAATTCTTGTCTAATTAGATTTTCTTTTATTAAAAAAATCATAATAATAAATAGATAAATATGTTAATTTAAATTTTATTATGTAGATTTTAATATTTTATAGAATTTATATATATATATATATATATATATATATATATATATATAAACTCTTTTCATATCAATTAATAAATATTTTTTTATATAAATAAATAAATACTGAAACTATTTGCATATATTAAAGAAAATCAAATTATACGAGTATTATTAATATAATTTTTTTTTATTAATTAATATAAAAAATAGATTTTAAAAGAATTTCTATAAAACTCTTACACAATTTACCTATTTTTCTATTTATTATAAGTTTTTTTTAAATAAAAGTAAGTTTAATTAGACAAGAATTATTAATATAAAAAATATTTATTAATTAATTTAAAAAGAGTTTTTAAAAGAGTTTTTATATAAAACTTTAACACAAATTACCTATTTATTTATTTATTATGAGTTTTTAATTAAAAAATCTAATTAGACAAGAATTATTAGTATAAAAATAATTTATTAATTAATATCAAAAATAAAATTATTTTTCTAAAACTGAACCACAAATTATCTTTTATTTTTAATTTTTTTAATAAAAGGTAATCTAATTAGATAAGAATTATTAATATAAAAAAATATTTATTCAGTGCAAGAAAAATAATTTTTTGTCATAAATTTTTTATCACGATTTTAAAATAATCTTTCTTTATCACGGTTTTAAAATAATCATAGTAAAAATTATACGATTATTGAAGAGCCTTTTTACCACTATCAATGAAAAATCATGATAGTAACTGAAATCGCGGTAGATCACTTTATCTTTTGGCGGGTCGTGAAATTTTCACTTAACTTGGCGGATCTTATTCCCGCTAGTGCCAATAAAATATTTTCTCTTTCTGAAAAAACCCTAGCGTCTCTCTCTATCTCTATATCTATCTCTCTGTGTCTCACACCGAGGCACCACCACCATCAACCCACATCCTCACACCATCACCAAGCCCTCGCTCTCTGTTCCAACCCCCCTGCCGCAAGCTTCTCCCGCCGAACCTCTTGGCTGCCGCTGCTGCTCTCTCCTCTCTTCTCGGTCTCGCTTTTTCTGGCCGATTCTCGGTCGAGGAGAAACCACATCTCTCCGCCGGCCACCACAGTTCCAGTTCCGGTCATCTTCTCCAGCCAAAAATTTCAGGCCGAGTCTCTCTCTCTTGTTTTTCTCTCGGGTAAGCTCTCTTCAACCTGAAATTTGATTTTTGGACTTTGATTTTGGAATGGGAATTTAGAATTTCCTACATATATATGTGGTTGTGTTTATTAGGGCTGTGAATGTATAAGTCTGTGATGTGAAAAAGGAGGATGGGCTATGGTAATGGAGAATGGACTAAAAAAAAATTCTGTGAAGGGCTTGTCCCTGATTTTTGAAATTGAGGTTGACGATGAATTGAATTGGAAATTCTAAATTGAATTGAATTGAATTGCAACTTCTTGGGCCTTTAAATTTCAGATTATATATACATGGCCTTGTGTTGTATCAAAAATTCTGGACTCTACTTGAATTCATAAAAACTGTAAGATGATTTTGATATAAATACATCTCTGTGACTATGCTTTTGAACTGAAATGGGGCTGTGAAATTTAAACTGAAATGATGTATATATCTTGTTGCCATGTTGAAAATTCTATGAAGCTTGAGACTATGTTTTGATATATACCCATACATTGTTTAGTGTTGAATGATCATTGGGGCTGAGGTTTTGAAACTGCTTGATATACATGTGTCCATTTATGTGTTTACAAAGCTTTTGGAAAATTGTGAATAGGCTACAGTATTTCGAATTTTCTTGTTAAAGCTATAATTGTGACTGAGATGGGTTATCTTGATTTTTCTGTTAAAACTCATGTATAAGAGAATTGATGAAGCTTTATATTTCAATTCGTCAATGACTCATCCCTAATCTATACAATCATTGAACGCTACCAGGTAGAGTATTTGTTTTTGACGAAGCTGTAACAGCCTAACGATGTCTTCCAGTTTTTGGGAGTTTTATTTGCTTTCTACTTCTTTTTCAATTTTGATTTTGTGAGTTAGATTATGAGATAATTGCATCTGACAGTGAGATTAGGAGTTATTAGGGTTTACCATTAATCAATTTCACTTATTGTTCAGTGAGTCTAAGAGTGCAGAATCATTCTCAGTCAAGTGTATAGCTAGATACAGGAGCTAGTGAAATTAAAATCTACATACCTTCAGGCATTTTGGTTTCAACTTTTGGTAACTCTATATTTGCAATTTCTTTTTTTGTGTCAAGTGTAGCTCCTTCCATATTCTGTTCATCTGCTTAAGTTCGAATTTTTTATTAATTATGTATCACAACTCCCTAAATAAAATTTCTCACTATTGTTGGTGAAAGCTGCCAACTTTAAAGATATATATATTTCAAGAATAGTAAACTTTCAGAGAGTAAATAGGAATTGAAGTGCAGCATTGTTCTTCTCAAAATCATTAATAGTTCGATTTTCATTCATTTTATAATTTGTGAATTGTGATCAGTCTTTTGCATCATAGAAATCAAGTTCTACTCTATTTTTCTTTTATAATTTTTAGCTATAATTGAGGATCATTTTTTCTTATGTACATGGATGTGTATGATTAAATGCCTTCCGTGGTTTCTTAATTCCCAGTTGAGTAACTTGATTTGCAGCTCTGTTTCATCAATTTTTAGAGTGGCAGGAAGGCTATTCTGATTCTTGACATGTCGTGTCGCTGAAACTTGCAAGCGTCGTCTAAAATTCGTTGCTTTGATTTGAAAGACGCATTTGTTAAAGCACTTTCAATTGCATGGCCTATCAAGTACATCAAAATTTGTAAGTTATATGGTCTTTATGTTTGATAAAATTCTTTTATGATTGCACATTTTTAATGCTTTTTATACTCATAATTAGGGGGGTCAAGTGCCTTTAAGTGACCAATTTTGCGGTGTATCTTGAACTTTATTACCTTATTGGTACATCGTCCCTTGTGGAGGCCATTTTTATTTCTTGTTTTAAAATGTTGAAAGTATGGGAGTATAAGATCATCGTATGTGGAGGTTTTGATTGATTGTTGTGGAGGAGAAGTTGTTGATATGTTGTTTGAGGAGTTAATGCAAGTTGGCAATTTAAATATTTTTTATGTATTAGTTGTTATTCATATTAATTCTTGAATTATTTGAGGAGTTAAAACATGGGCATGGTGATTTTTTTGGATTTTTTTAGGGAGAATTTATTCTTTTGCTTATTTCTAGGATTAGTTTCCACGTAGGATTAGATTTTAGTTTCCTTCTAGTTTAGATTTTCTCTGTTATAAATGTTTATGTATTGCAAGAGCAAGAATTTATAGGTTTTCTCTCTTGTTTTGTGGATTCAAAACACCTTATTCTGGAATTCAAAATAACCCGTTCCTTTTGAACGTTTGTCACTGTAAAAGAGAGATATTGACATAATGCTGAAATGAAGGAGCTGAACTCTTTAAGAGTTGTTGAATAATATGTGCAAAGAGAGTCTTTTTGACAGAAAAATAATAACTATAAAATAAATATACAATAAAAAGATAAAGAGTCAAGGTTTGAGGTCTCTTTTTTTCCTTTTATTTTCTTTTACTGTGGGATTCTTTACGATTAAAAAAATCATACGCTTTCCATGATTCTCCAAAGACTACAGATGATAGAATATCAAACTAATAGTTGAACATGTGGTTGTAGATGATAGAATATCAAACAATAAGAAGAGTTCATGACATTTCTCCAATATAATTCGTGCTTTTCAGAGGTATGTAATTTATTTTTGCTGTTTTGTTATTATTAAAACTGTGCACTATTTGGCTTTGGTCTGCTTTGGGGATTGCAACAATTTCTTAAGATTTTATATACTTGTTTGGTTTTGTAAATTCTTTCTTATTTTTTATTTTTTATTTTGTTCCACCATTTTGCACTATTAAGTTGTTTTATGAAATAAAACGAAAATTTGAAGCTTATTATTATAAGAGAGGATGTACATGATCATTTGCATACGAATGTTCCAACTAATTGAATCTAAAGTATTTTAAAATGAAGAATTGTGTTGATAGCTCAAACAATTGATAACTTACGGATGATGGGTTACAATTATGTTGTGAATTTGAAATGAAAAGGAAAAGAAAAAAATAAATTAGTATAATCAGTTGATATTGCACCCATAATGTAAACATGTGGGCTTATTAACTATATGCTTTACCTCTGAAGGATGCAAAGTAAAATTACATATAGGATTATATATTGTTATTAGTTTTTGTTTTTTTGGCTCATAGTTAATGAGAAAAGTGAAAACTCAATTTTTTGTCGCACCATCAAATAGTTGTTAACATCTAAATATTCCTTCTTTTCTTTTTTATTATTGCAGATCTTAACTTGTTCAAAAAAGGACGCGGAGGGTCACGTGGCCTTGAATATAAAATAATATATAAAAAAAATGGTGGCAGAAAACCTCGTATTACCTTGAATATAAAATAATATTAAAAAAATGGTGGCAGAAAACCTCGTATTACTTTTCAATTCAATGTAAGCTACTTAATGAAGTGTTATATTCTTTTTAATTAATTAATTAAAGATTGTAGGATATCAGAGTCTCATGTCAATTAGTTCTTTGCAGGAGGGTCTGGTCAACAATCTTTCCTTACTAGCTCAATCGATTTTGGCCTCGTAGACCTCTTCTATGGGTGCTACTTGTCACTTAGTAAGGTATATTTATTATATGATACTACTTAAATTTAGAGCTTATAAAAAATATATTAGTATAATAGAATAAAATAAAATAAAAAGGAGATGACTCAATAAAAGAAATGTTTTGAAAAATAATAAATATTTTCCTTAATAAATAATGGATGTGTTCCATCTAATTTGATAGTTTGTGTTGATGCTTTCATCTACGGTCCGAATTGTCACACTTAGTAAGTTACATTAATAGTTTAGAATTGTTTTCCCGTTTTAATTTGATTTAGTCTCTGTTGATACTTTGCAGTATTCTATAATTGACTATTTGAGACTACTCTGAGAATTAGGCTTAACTTTGATCCATTTTTTAGTAAAAATCACATTAGAGAATACACTAAACATCCTAATTTTTTTGTAGAGTTGATGTAGTTCAAAGAGTATTTTGCCACAAAGTGATGGTTGTTGAGTGGTTTAATGTAATTTGGCATAATGGAAATAAACATCCTATTAAAGTATAGTAATATAGTACTAAGTTGTGTGTGTGTATTTGGTTTGATATAATAAAAAAAGTCAAGTTACTTAATTCTCAAGGATTATCTTAATTCTCACCAGGATATCAAGTTTTCTAAAATACTCTTTAAAAATTTATTTGAGTCTTCAAATTCTAATCTCATTTTTTCTTTTTCTTATTTTTTTTTGCAGGTTTTACATTGATTGCAATCTAGCTCCCCTTTTGGATTTTGATTTCTTTTGGGATTTTGATGTGTATGCACTTAGTATTGTATAATATCGGATTCAGATATTAACATTTTGATATGTGCTGGAATTATCATTTTAGATGATTTGCACATTTTAATATCTAAATTCTTAATGGAATATGTGTTTTATCTTCTATGTTTGATTATCAAATATATTGATTTTGAGTGATATGTTTAGATCTTGGTTTAGATTGTTTACTTATATTTTAATTTAATTTATAAGTTCCAAATTTTAAATAGGTGAAAACAAAATTATATTATTGTATTAATGGCAAGATATATTATTTTGTCACAATATTTAACCTTATAGTGACAATGTATTTGTCGCAACATAATATATATATTGCGACAAATAATTTTGTCATAATAAAATAACTTATATCGACAATTAATTTTGTCACAATATGTCTCTATATATTGTGACGAAATTTTTTTCACAATAAAACCAGTTATATCGACAACTAATTTTGTTGCAATATGTCTGTATATATTGTGACGAAATTTTTGTCACCATAAAGAAGCTTATATTGACAATAATTTTGTCTCAACATGTTATATATATTGTGACCAAAACTTTTGTCACAATAAAGTAGTTTATAATGACAATATTTTTGTCATAACATAGGATGTATATTGTGACAAAAAGGTTTTGTCATAATAAAGTAGCTTATAGTGACAATATTTTTGTTACAACATAGGATGTATATTGTGACAAAACCTTTTGTCACAATAAAATAGCTTATAGCGACAATTTTTGTCACAAAAGATTATACATATAATGACAAAAATTACTTTGGTCACAAAATAGTAACAAACAGCGACAAATTTCATAGGTGTGGAGGTTTTTAGGCAACAATTTTGAAATATTTTACGACAAATATTTTGTCGCAATTTTTATTCATTTTGTGACAAAAAATATTTTGTCACAATATATCTCACCTTTAGCGACAAATCAATATTTGTCACAAAAAACATATTGTGACCGGCTTCTAGCGACAAACTGGTGACAAATTTTTTTTTGTCGCGATAAGATTATCGCGCCAAAATATGTACTTTTAGCGACAAATTCGTTTGTCGCCAAAGACCAAATTTGTTATAGTGACAAAACCGGTGCAGACATCAACTTAGTCTTCAGTTCCTCAAAAGTTTTCTGACAATGTTCATTCCACACGAACCGTACACCCTTCTTAGTCAAATGAGTGAGTGGCCCCGCTATCTTGGAGAACCCCTGGATGAATCTCCTGTAATACCCTGCTAAACCAAGGAAACTCCGAATTTCAATAAGTGAAGTAGGTTGTCCACACTCAACCACCGCTGAAACCTTGGCCGGATCCACCGCTATTCCCCTTTCTGACACCACGTGCCCAGAAATTTCACCTTCCGCTGCAAAAATTCACATTTCTCGAACTTGGCATACAACTGGTGCTCACGAAGCGTCTGCAAGACTATCTGAAGATGTCTAGCATGATCGTCCTCTGACCTCGAGTAAATCAAAATGTCATCTATGAAGACAATGAAAAATTGATCCAAGTAAGCTCTAAAGACTGTTCATTAAATCCATGAAAACCGCTGGTGCATTAGTCAACCCAAACGGCATAACCCGAAACTCATAAGACCCATATCTAGTGAGAAACGCTTGTTCTCGGAACATCTTGCTCCTGAACCCAAAGTTAATGATATCGAGACCGCAGATCAATCCTAGAGAAGTACGTAGCTCCCTTCAACTGATCAAAAAGATCATCAATCCTGGGTAACGAATACTTGTTACGAATAGTAATCTTGTTTAACTCCCTGTAATCTATACACAGGCGGAGCGAACCATCCTTCTTTTTCACAAATAAAACCGGTGCTCCCCAGGGTGAAGTACTCCTGCGAATGAAACACCAGCTGAGTAACTGCTGAATCTGATGCCTCAGCTCGTGCATCTCCACCGGTGCCATCCTATACGGTGCCCTAGCAATAGGCGTAGTGCCTGGAGCTAAGTCAATCACAAAATCGATCTCGCGACTAGGCGGCAACCCTGGAATCTCCTAAAATACATCCGGGAAATCCTGCACAATTGGTATGTTATCTAATGATACAGTAGTCCCTTCCTCCGTTTTCTCCTCCACATGGAACAAATAGGTGCTAATGACTGTGATACCCCCGAATTTCCGGATACGGGTTAGTCAGGCCCACGCCCGACTATTTGAGGATATCAAACCATTTAGTAATAAACGAACACAGAATATAACTAAGGAAATAGGAATAAATAAAAATTTGCTGAAAAGAAACTAGAATGATAATTCAAATACTGAAACCTCATAATCAAATTAAATTAATAAAGAATTATTCTGATACATCCAAATTCTCTATTTCTAATACAACTCGGGAATCCATCTAGTGGACCCCTAAAAACTCCAACACTGAAATCATCAACTGAAGAACTCCACTGCTAAATCATGAAGAAGCTCCTACGTCATCGGAAGAATGAGAAGTCGTTCTGCTCAGCACAAACAAGATCTAAGACCTCGAACCGTCCGTTACCTGAAAAATAATAGTGGGTCAGGCCCACGAACAAGTTCTATCCTAACTACAATCCAAACAGAGACCTGATACGCAGATACATCCTAAATGTCTCAACCATATTTATTTAGTCCGTAATAGATAAATATATATCCACACTACAGGACTCTCATTAAACTATGCTGAGGGTCTCAACCTGAATAGAATGCAACATGCAATACGCACCTGAGTGGGGATGACTACCTAAACCTAACAGGGTATACCTCAACCAACATAGCTAGTTACGCATCCTACTACATATACGCACCCTAACCGTCGACTATGAGACTCAAGCTCAGATCGCAGTACCATAATTTATATATATAAATTCCCATCCAAACCAATGTAGTGCCGCTCAATTGTCGTTGCCATGACGCGACATAAAATTAGGATTTAAAATGTTTTAATTAAATCCCTATCCCAATTCTATATATGAGTTCCCTCCAAATACAATGTTGTGCTGGTCAACGGTTCATTGCTCAAGACACAACATGTAATCAGGATTTAAACGTTTTAGTTAAAACCCTATCCTTCCTAATACAGAAATATAAACAACCATCAAGTATGTCGTTCAACTGTTTTAGTTGACAAGACATAAAACCATGTAGGATTTAACTATTTTAGTCAATCCATTCCATATGTATGAATGGGTAGGAATTAGCGTTGTGATCTAATCCATCCCTCCGTATGACACCGTCCCATACCGGTGCATACATGCAAATGATCCGTAAGTGATGCAACATTTATGCAGTACATCAAATAAATCCACACATTCCACATAGTTGATAAACAGAATTTAAACAGTTCGTCAACTACAAATCCATAACCAAAATCCATGTAATAGATAAGACAAAGTTTAATAGTTCATTTATTCAAAATCCAGAATCTATCCATGTAGTTGATGATTTAATTCAGTTAACTTAAATTTCAACTAATTCATAATACAGTCCAGCAGTTGACAACATTAGAAATCAGTAAAATGTCCATTTACACATCTGAGAATGATAAAATATAACTCAGAAAATCCACAGCTCTGATCCATCGTTGGTGGAACAGATAGAACAGTTTAACGATTAAAATAACAACCTCCGTCTAATTAATGAAACCTAATTAACTAGTTCCTTAATTAAGATCCAACCTATGCACAAATAAGGTCTAACAAATACGTGACCCTATTACACGTCCAAAATAGGTTTTAAAATCACAATATTGTCCAAGAAATTTCTAAAATTAATTCTAACAATTTAGTTCCTTTTATCCATTAATAGCATACTAGGTTGCATCTTTGTACACTGTTTTATTGTTTTAGCATCGAGCCATAGACTATGTTACAAGTCTAATTTGTTAATTAAAAGACTCCCTCATACATCTAAAATTTAATTTAGAATCATATTATAGCACCTTAAATCGTCAAATTAAAATTAAACAATTTAACTTCCTTCCAGCAGTTAACCGCGCGCAAGTTGTTAAATAGCACACTGTTAATTCCATTAATACAAAGAGTGTATTTTATGCAATCCAAGACCTTAATTACATCATAAATTAATTATTGAAACCCCCATTAAAGTTTTAAAACTGTTCAGAAACCCTAAGAGCCTAAACAGTTTTTGAAAACTTATAGTACGCTTCAAAATGAAAAGAGTCTGCTTTAAAAAAAAATAGAGTAGGCTCAAACCAACATTGAGCCGGCTCCAAAAACTTTTGGAGCAGGCTCAAAGTGTTTGGAGCCGCCTCCAAAAAGGGGAAGCCCACTGTTCCGCTTTCTTCTTCGTTTCCGATGATCTGCTTCGACCCCGGCCACTTTCTACTCTTCAGTTGGTTTCTAAAACTGATCCTAAGGTCTTATTAATACCAAATAGCATCCCAATGGTTTGATAACACAATTGGAAACAATTACAGAGACTAAATTTGCAACCGAACTATTTATGCTTTAGGAACAAAACTGAAACTATTTTGCAATAACAGTTCCATTCCCCCTCTGTTCCTCTTCACTACTGAATTTAGGAGTTCTATTTAATCCCAGTATCATCCCCATGATTTATTTGCAGAGGTTAAAGGCAATTACAGAAACTACAATTTCTAATAACATAACATGCTTAAAATAGAAAAGTGAAACAAGACTTGCATGCGTTATAACAGAGTTGATTTTAACACGTAAAGATCTTCAATATACATATAGTAAGCATGTAAATTCTAATTAATAATTACTTAAACCCTAGAGACTATCTAGGTGCACAGAACACGAGCCAACGGGAGAGAGAAAGAATGGAACTTGTCTTACAGTTTTGGAACAAAACCATGTCGCCGTCTTCCTAAGTTTTTCCTGCGATAATGACTGCCATCAAGGACTCCCTTGATCCGGTTCTAACTCTCGAATGGCCCTCAACCTTCCTCCTTGGATCGGCCTAATTCGTTGGCCAAAACCCCAGCTTCTTCTCTCACAGTTTCTCTCAAAACTCCCTAAGACTTCTCTCTGCCTCCACTGCTCTACGAACCGAGTTCTAACCCTTGGCAAATAATATAAGGTTCTATATATATAGGTTTAAGACAAACCCTACTCCTATTGTTAAACCTACGTCTCATAAGAAAATA